GGTCTCGACTGTCCCATAGACACAGAAAACAAGGGTATTTGGTATCCCACCCACTGGATCTCTTCAGGAAAGATTAACCCCTTCTACCATTAGAAGCACAGACTCAGGGCTGAGGCTTACACATACAGCATGCTGCTGAGTATCCCAGTAGTCAGACATGTCACTCAGAGCAGCACTTGTATTCACCCCCTTTGCAGGGGGGGAGGGGCAGAGATTGTTTACCTGCAAATAACAACAAAGGGCCAGAAGAGAACTAGGAAAATGAGAAAATAGAATTTTTTTCCCTAAAACTTGCTTAGCTTATGTATATATTGCTGACCATCAGATTTACAGTGCTATATTTTTTTTACATAACTCGGACAACCCCTTAAGGTTTTTTTGGCATTTTATATCTTAACTGCACTTATGTGAATTAATTAATAGTAATTTGGACTTTAAATTTGGTAAAAAACCCATAATATAAAAAAAAATACCAAAAATTAAAAAAATTTGATAATTTTTAAGACAATTTTCCATTTTGTGGCAAATCATGACGTCTAGGAGTTTTTTCAATATTTTATTTGTTTTCAGCACACCAAAATACATGGAAATTAGATGAAAATAATCAAACAGCTTTTTAGTCGCAGATCTGTGTTATGTGCAAATATAAGTCTTTTTCAATTTGATCACAACAACTAAGAGGAAACAATCCTAGACTGTTTAATTTCTTTCATACAATCCAGAACATTCAAAAGTTCCCCCCTCATCATTTTAAATGTTTACATTATAGAATAATAAGCATTTGTGAGAAAATATGTACATTCAATGTCACATTAAAAGGAGAACCTGAAACGTGTTTCCACTTTTGCAGTCAAATTTTCAGAAAACCCCACTGTATGTTTGTTATGTGTTCTCATTCACACAGCATGTCTATATATTTTTTTTTTTTGCAATTGATTTTTACTTTTTTAGTTGTTTGTTATGAGGCGGTGTCATGGCTGACTGCAAGGTTTTTTTTGAACAATGTCAGAGTGAACCTGTTCCAAGTCGTTCCTCATTTACATACAACGCAATAAGCCCACCCCACTTTTAACCCTTTGTTAGAACAGATAGTGTTCAAATCTGCCTGCACAGTACAGACAGGTTAAATTTTGGCAAACAAAGCAGCCCATTCACAACACAAGTAAGGAGAAGGGTCCAGAATGGAGCATTTAAAAAGATAAGCTGCAATTTTTTTTTTTTGTAAATTTGCTATGTGATTGGGGGCATGTAACAAATTTAAATTAGGTATTATGCAAATTTGGCTGCAAAGGTGGAAATACACTTTAAGCCCACTGGGCATAGATGGGCTTCTGCCATAATGTGCAAAACAGCATCATTCTTCCCTTCTGCAATAAAATATACTGCTAAGCTTTTTTCCATAGCTATTTTAGTTTTGGTGCCCTAGACCAGACCCCTGCTTGCAGCCACCTATGCTACTACAAAGAATATCCATCAACTATAAACCACTGTTTGTAGCTTCTAGAACAATATTTGACTTACTTTCTCACCTAAAACAGTTTAGTCCATTGCTTACCACTTATTTGCCACGAATATCCATAAATTGTCTTTTCTCAGTAATTTGTACTGGGACTTCCAACTAGATAAAGCATTGATATATGTGGACACTTGCATTTCATGTAATGCATAGGTGAAAACATGCATTAAAAAGTGCATTCCAAAGGAATCGTGAGTGAGTGGATCAGAATCAAAGGTCTGTAAACCATAATAGTTGACATACCTTATATTGTACATCATTGAATTAAAGTTAATTGTTTAACAGAAAGCTGTAACAGTATTATAAATTATTCTACACGCTTAAAAGCTGCTCATACAGTATACATTCTGATTGTACAATCTCCTTTAGATCTACCACCAGCTGTGCAGTGCAAGCGCTTGCTGGTTGGATACAAAATTTAATTCACTGTATGTTTAGGTATCTTCTTATATTACATACAGTAGATTTGATCATTCTGAAGGGGGTAGTATATGGTAGTATATGGATTGTACAATCAGATTGTATAGTGTATGGACAGCTTTAAAGTGGAACAAAGCAAACTATAACTATTCTAAAAACTGTTACCTCTTCCTATCTATCCCAACCTGTATAAAACCTGTATATAACCACGATGAAAAATGTGTATACTTACCTTTTTTTAATCATGTGATCCAACAACCCTGGCTTCCCTGTGTCAGTGAGTGACTATTGCAGGGGAGAGGAGGAAGCACTGACAATGTCTGGGCCATGGGAGTCTATAGGTGACATCACAGCTCCTAGAATTGACAGCCATTGTCGAGCACTCCCTTGTATGGAGCTGCAAGATCATGTGACCTGAGTGGAGTGGATTGAAAATAGGTAAGTACACACATCTACAGGTTAGGCAGGATAGGTAGGAGGACAGGGGAGGGAACATTTTTTTTAGAATTAGGTATAGTCAGGGCTTTCTTCCAATTTTAGATAATAATACAATAAGATTGTATAATCTGTAAATCTTAAGATTTACCAATAACTATGTAGTATGAGGCTATGCCAAAAAATTTGAAATACTTTCACTACATAGTTGACAGCAAATTATGTTGAGCCAACAGCTCTGATCAAACCAAAATGGGACTGTCTGCTGTCATCTTAAATGATGTCACTTTCCTGGTTTGGTTAAAATGTACATCCTCCCCAGAATCTTAGATTTTTTTTTAGAACTTTCCCCACTACAGTCCCTAAAAGAAAGCTGATGGTGATTCAAAATAGGATACTCTGCTTTATATGGGGCACTAAAAGACCTAGAATCAAGAATTTGACATTATATACTTCTAAACGTAAAGGGGGTTTAGGTGTTCCCAATCTTATGGTTTATCACTAGGCAGCATAAATTGCCTAATTAGCGCTAACTATAATCAAGGGCCCGACTCCACATTGAGTTGCTATGGAGGCACTGTCCTGCTCTGTAGAATCTTCAGAGGCATTGATGTGGATCCCCAGTAGGTTCCATCCTTTTATTTTATGTCATATTCGCTGGCCATATGGGACAGACAAAGAGCGAGGAAGAAACTTTGCTCACCGTATACTCCTTTAGCTCCAATACTAAGTAATTCACCCTGGGTGTACTTTCACATCTTTTTCACTAGTGAGAAATGAAAGGCTTGTTATGAATAGGAGGATTCTTATCTGGAAATGATATGCTCTCTCTGGATTACTATAAAATTAAATTACAATTGCCCTCTTTAGAATTGTTCCAGATTATATGATATTTTAGGGCTAAATTAAAACAGGTCACCCGTCCACTATCTCTGACGCTGTTTGAAGGTTCTTGCAGAACTAGGGAACCAGTGAAGGGATGTATTTCAATTTTATATGACCTTTTAATGGACTCAAACTGCAAACTTTCTTACATGGAACACAGGGAAAGAGACTTTAATATTACATTAGACCCACCAAAATGGCAAGACATAGCAAAAGCCTTATCCAAGACTTCCATCAACACGAATCTGTTGATATCTAACTATAAAACCCTATTGAGGTGGTATATGCTCCCAACTAGGTAAGTAAAGATGAGCTCACAGGCATCTTCATATTGCTTCAGGAGCTGTGGACAAGTGGGCACTATGTCCAATACCTTATGGCAATGCACTAATGTAACTAGGTTTTGGATTAGAGAATTCAGCTTAATCTGGTCAAAAACAGAAGTAAACATTAGTAGAGCTCCAGAGATTGCTCTTTTTCAGAATTTGGATAATGAAATTCCTAAAAAGACTGAATCTCACATATGATCCTGACTGCAAGGATTGCTATTGCACAGCGTTTGAACCAGTCAGTAATAACATTTGAAAATGCTAAACAAAAATTGAGCTGGATCATGATTAATGATATATCTTCTTGTTCCCTCCATAATAAGCAAATTAAGTTTGATAAGGCATGGCAATCATGGATTCAATGCCTGTCGTTGGTTCTGGGAGGCATTGTTTTAACTCCTCTTGATACCCTTGTTTTCTTCTTTTTTTGCTCTTACTTTACTTCCTCTCTACTAATTGGCCTAATACATTGTTTTTTTTCTCACTACAATATTTCATTCTTTTTTTGTACATGTCCACAAGCTTTATACCATGCATTTTATAATATCCTAACCTCATCCCTGGATGGGGAGATAGACAAACCTAACATTGCCTATAAGATCTATATCCACAATCTCCATAATGCCGTTTCATACCATTTTATTTTATTACCTTTGGACATTGTATATGCTGTTGAATATCTCATGTCATTGTTATACCTTTATAAATATATTGGATATTGTATGATGCATGTTTTAATGTTCTTGATTAAACCTATCCCAAAATAGTCAATAAATGTTTGAAATCTAAATCTCACAATTACCATTGCATGTTTTTTGTGAACAAGATTTAAAATATAAAAAATACATAGCAAGTAAAAATCAATTTTATGTTGTTGGCTTTGTTGTAAATATCTTTTTTTCTGCAGCATGTTTTTTTTTATCATCCTGTTGTCATTAGTTTTTCCTGTTACAGTTGAACATGATTTTTCTGTGCTATGCCCCATCTGTCCTCTTTACCACAGCAGGAGCAGGAGATAATTTCATAGATACTCAGCATAAGCTACAAAATAGCATTACACATTAATGCTGGAAGATATGTATTATATTTTTCTGAACACGTCCTGTAGTGCAGTTTAATAAGCCTTTCTGTAAAATTCACCTTAAGGTCAAATTACACCAATAGGGGATGTAAAAGTCAATGTTTTGTTTGTGCTTATAAATTCACAAACAGCAAAAAGTAGTCATTTCTTTCTTCTAATAAATGTTATTTAAACTGATTCTATGTTCCAGGCTAGCCATGTGTAAGAAGAGGAAAGAGGTGTTAGAATACCCTGGCATCAAGGTTTCTCCACATAATGAATCTTTTCTTGGGAAAATAGTGCTCTGGTTCAAGATGAGCACCATCTAACACCTGAAAATTCTTTGAAATTCTCCATGAGAAAGATGAATTATACAAATTGCACAGCAGAAACAATTGCAAATAAATCTAAAACCGTAACGGAAAAAATGCTGATTTCTTTGGCATTGGCTGTAATAACTACTTTGACCACATTGTTAAATTCAGCTGTGATTATTGCCATTTGCACAACCAAGAAACTGCACCAACCAGCCAACTATTTGATATGTTCACTGGCTTTTACTGATTTCTTGGTTGCCATTTTGGTAATGCCTTTAAGCATTGCCTACATTGTCATGGATACCTGGACTCTTGGTTATGTAATCTGTGAAATATGGCTTAGCGTGGATATGACCTGCTGTACTTGTTCGATCCTTCATTTATGCGTGATTGCTCTTGATCGATACTGGGCCATAACCGATGCAATTGAATATGCCAGGAAACGTACAGTTAAGCGGGCTTCTCTAATGATCTTAATAGTATGGACTATTTCAGTCTTCATTTCTCTTCCACCTCTATTCTGGAGGAACCATCACAATATAAGTACCCCCAGCAGGTGTATCATTCAGCATGATCATGTGATCTATACAATATACTCCACATTTGGGGCATTTTATATCCCTTTGACTTTAATACTTATTTTGTACTATAGAATATACCATGCTGCAAAAAGCCTTTACCAAAAAAGAGGATCAAGCCGCCATTTAAGCAACAGAAGCAATGACAGCCAAAACTCCTTTGCCCATTGCAAGCTCACACAGACATTCTGTGTGTCAGAATTTTCCACATCGGATCCTACCATAGAATTTGAGAAGATGACTGCATGCGTGAGGACTCTGCCATATGATAATGACAATGACTTGTCAGGGGACCGACAGCAGCAGATCTCTAGCTCAAGAGAAAGGAAAGCTGCTCGTATCCTTGGACTTATTCTAGGAGCTTTTATGTTGAGTTGGTTGCCATTTTTCATCAAAGAGCTTGTTGTTGGACTTAGTCTTTGCACTGTATCACCAGAAGTGGCTGATTTTCTGACCTGGTTAGGTTATGTGAATTCGCTAGTCAATCCCCTTCTTTACACTAGCTTCAATGATGATTTTAAGATAGCCTTTAAAAAACTTATTAGATGCAAAGAGCATTCATAAAGTACGCAGGCAGGGCATTTGACTGTCTTATAGGCCTTAAAGGTGAGAAAATACCATATGATACAAGATTGTCTTTTGAATCATGTCAGGTTAGGACTATGTATCTTGGCTTGGTGTCTTTTCTTTTACGTCTTGTCATGTAATGCCGTCTTCTACCTCTGTTTTTAAAAGAAAAATCAGACATCAATTTTATAATATATGGTAACATATTCCCAGTAGTAATGTTAAGGAATTGTTACTATTACCAAATTTTAAAGTGTGATTTGAGAAACATTGTGCTTTTTCCTTTGTATGAGTGCTGAATGTTCATATGAGCCTATAAAGCGTTTACATTTCTGTATAAACAAACTTGCAAAGAGTCCTTTTGTGTTTCTTTCTACATACTGCATGGAAAACAGGCAGTGGGGCTGATTTACTATAGTAGTAAAGAATGTTCACTTAGCAAATTGAATCTTAGGGAAAAAAAAAAAAACCCCGGCAAAATAATGTCATAATGTGCTAGTGTGCATCACATACTATAATGAAAGACTTACCTTAGCATGATGCCCTACAGAGGCACGCCATTCACTGCTGACAGGACTACCATCTTCACTTAGTCTTCCTTCTGGGTTTACGGGCTCTGGTCACTTAATTGGCTGAGCCGCAATGACGTCACTCCCGCGCATGTGCACAGGGGTCCCGTCCGTGGCACAGAGCTCTAAAGGAACGGCACGGGCATGCCGTTCCTTCAGAGCACATGCGACGGTGATGTCATCGGCTGCAGGGACACTGAATATCTCTTAAATGGTGCACGTTTAGGATATATTCATTGTACCTACAAGTAAGTTTTATTATAAGCTTGCCTGTAGGTACAAGTGTCCAGTCGGAGTTTACTTCCACGTTAAAAAAGATGGTGAAGCTATGTTCATTTTAAATACCCAATCATGTTTAGGCAATCAAGGGAAATTTATTTTTAAAGCTTTTGTTGCACGTGATTGGATATATGAAAAGGGCTTCAATTTATTTACTAAGCTGAGTGAACACATACTTTGCTTAGAGAACTTTTTCTGCTCCTGTAGTAAATCGACCCAATTAAACCAGGAATCTATTTTATATCTTTAATATTAATTTAATTATTTTGAAATTTAAATAATTTTATTAATTTATTAATACCATGTAGATGTCAGCAGAAAGTATTTTTATCTCACTGCTACTGGGTCTTTTTACATGGATTCCATCAAAATCCATAGGGCAAATGACAGTGCCTTGCAGGTATCCAAAGAAACAGACTGATGTGAAGTCAGACATAGCAAACACTTTACCCTCTAAACATTATTGTCTCTGCTTTCTTTCCTGCTTTCCATCTCAGAAAACAAAATAGTTCTCCTGTAAGAGAAGATCGTTACAGGATTACAAGTGAAGTCATTCTTCCACTGCAGAATAATAGCATTATACAGCATTTAAAAAAGGACATCTAGGGTTTGTTATGATTTATTAAAAACATGTTTGGTGCCATTTTACTGCTCATGGCAAATGTCACAGTGTCCTCTTATAAACAGCAGCTGTGGTGATGCCTATAAACCCACGGGCTAAATAAATACATCATGCAGAAAATAAATCAGCAAATTGCTTGCTATTTTTAAACCTGGTTTTGAGCATTGAAGTTTTAGTAGATAATCAATATTAATTTTGTCAAACTGAGATGACTACAGCATGACAAAAATAATTAATATCCTCTGGACAATGTAAAAATAATTTGTGTTAAAGCTGTTGACCTGTTCTATCATACAGTCTATCGTTAAACTATGGTTAAAAGGAAAATCAGAATCCACAGAGGCTGGTTTGTATAGAATAATAAAATCTGCCAGGACAGCACAACGGACCATTGTACTTGTCACCAAACATAATAATGTCATTTACAGATAATATTAGAAAAGACAGCAGTTCTTCAGTAAGGATTTTACAAAAGCAAACTATAATGGGATGGACATTTTATGAAACAGCGCTTTTAGTTAAAATGATTACTTTGCATCAGGGGCGGACTGACAAATCATGGGGCCTTCGGGCAATAGGGGATCATGGGGCCCCTGTGTCCTTGCCCAAACTCAAAAAAGCCTATGAAAAAGGTACCAGGGGCATGTCATGGGGCCCCCTACTGACCCGAGCCCTCGGGCAGTGCCCGAGTTTCCAAATGGTCAGTCCACCCCTGCTTTGAATATATATTTACATAAAGTACAACTAAAGGCTCCTCTGTATGATAGCTTAAACAAGTACCAGCTTCAGTTTCTATGTAATGCACAAGTCCCATGAAGTAAACAAAGGTATTTTACCTTTCCAGACTGAGCCAAATCCTCCTTTATTTATGCTTCACATGGTTCCCTCCCAGGCACTGCAGCTCACAGCTCACAGTGGGAGGGTTTCAGCAACAGAGGCCGTGGTGTCATTCCAGAAAGTAGTGGATAGAACTAGGTGCTGACTGACAAGCTACAGGCAAGCAAGCTACAGTTACTTTGAAGAGACTTTTTAAAAAGATGCCTTTTTAAATATAGGCAACATATTGGCCTTGGTCCAATCAAAGTCTATTGAGCCAGTAATTAAAAAGTCTCTAGAAATAAGAAACAATGGCTTTGAAATAACAGAACTCAACTCTTTGAGGACATGAAGGTTCAAACTATCTGGACCAGGTGCTGTATTCACCTTTATTTTGTCTAAATGTTTATAGACTATATAAATTTTGGTTTTCTGAGGTTACATCATTATGGAATTGAGCACCTCCAGAGTTCTACTTAAACATGGAATTATTATTACACTTTAAGAAAATGTTTATAGGTAAACATTTACCTTGAAAAATCAGTTTTATATTGTATCCCTGCTTCTTTATATAGTGGAATAAAATTAACTGTATAATAAGGGTCTTAAAGAAACAAAGCTTTGAGTGTTCACAATCAAATTGAAAAAAGAATAAACTAAACTGCAAAAATGTTCAAAAATGCATTGGAATATGCAAAAAGTATGGCAGGAATGATTTTTTAATTTGCTCTGCACCAAACTTCATGGTACTACCATGCATTTTGGTGGCCACAAATGCGCACGTTTTCTAGATGTGTGGGGATGCCATTACCAATTATTAGCATCCACGCACATCTAAATATGGCATCGTGTTCCCTGCAGAAATGTGAGTTTCCTGCACCATAACTGGTGTGAACAGGCCCTGAAGGCCCCCATAGATGACTCAGATTTCAGCCGATTCAGCAGGATTCATGCAGTAGGTGGCCTTACAAGCAACACCTGCCTCGATTTAAAAATGAACTAATCCAAGTGGAAAATTATGATCCCAACTGTAACTGTATCCTATTCAATGCAGTCACTTGTCCTCAGCGCCTCTGTATTTAGACAGTCTCAGGTACTGGGGCTTCCTGAATAAAATAGTGGAGATTCTTCCATCCATTCTGTTAGCGGGGGTGGGGAATCAATTTTCTCTTGCGAGATGAAAGAGAAATTTGAGCCGTACAGTATATGGCCAGCTTAAAATATGTGTGAGACATGTTCATGCAATCAATGGTGACTAGCAGTAGCATATAGGTTATATTGTGTAATAAATAGCAGACAGAAGCCAGGACACAGAAAGCTAATGTGCTAGGTATTTATTAAACAAAAATTGGTCTACGGAAAAGTAGGGAGTCAACAAGACAGAAAAGTAGTAGATTGGTTGATTCCAGGGTTTCATTCAGGTAGTCTAACACTAGGGATGAGCCAAGGGTTCAATCGAAACCAACGTTTGGCTTTTTGGCCCCCAGTTCATTGACTTGACCAAATATTGGCCATATTTGGTCAGTGATGTCACTAATATCCCGGCCCTTTCCCCCTTTCCCTTACAGAACTGATAACAGCTCAGGGAGCTGTCATTCGGCGAACAGTCCCATATGGGTCGGCCATCTGCTCTAAGTTTATTGGGTTTTTAAGTTCAGTGAGTTGGCAGCCAGCAGACATCGTAATAAAGGATGGATTTTCAATGAGGGACATTTTTGGGAAATTTGTATGTTTTTAATAAATGACTTGTCTAATGTTTGGGTGTCTTTATTTGTAGGTTACATTTTTTTTTGGTGAATAAGTAGGGGGATTCCAGATTCCATCCCCACCCACAGACCCCTACCCACATACAGCCACAGTTACCAGGCCAGGGTTGTGATGAAGAAGCCCTTGTCCTCACCACCATAGGGTGCTTTTCTGTGGGGCAATCCCACATATTGAAGGCATTTGGCCTAATATGATTCAGGGGAGGTGGAGTCTACTGTACTCCCCCTTTTTTCCGGTCAGCCAGTCTGCATGCTCAGATTATGAGTCTTGTATGAGTTTTTAGGGGACTGCATGATTTTTTTTATTGGTTTTCTTTTAGTGGTGACCCCTTTAAAATCCATACCAGACCCAAGAGGAGCATCTTTTTTTCTTTTTTTTTTTTTTTTTTTTGCATGGGATGCCTTCTTAAAATTCATACCAGACTCAAAGGATCTGCAATGCATTTTAAGGGGAGCGCTACACAAATGTTTGCTACAGCAAATGTGGCCTTTACAAAGAAAATCAATATAGTACAGGTTAAGCCCCCCTTGGGTTCCCAAAATACATGGCAGAAGGCTGTGTATTTTGGGGGCCCTTTAAAGAAGTCTGTTTGCTTTTTTTAAGCCAGCAGGGGAATTTAATTTGCCACAAATTTAGAAATAATTTTACTTTGTAAATGTCAGTTCTTTAAAAAAAAAAAAGCTGCTCCCGACCTAATGGAATTATAAAAAAATATATTTTTTTACATTGGTAATTGCTCCCCATGACATTGTTTTTACACCCCTTAGCCTATTAGTCCAGAAAATCAGCCTTTTTGAATAAACATATTTAGTTCCTCTTGATGTCAATGGGGTTCGGGTTCTTTAAGTCCATTGAACCCTGTTCAAATGGAAAACAGGACTGTTCAGTTCATCGCTATGTAACACCAAAAACGTGCCCTATTTCCAGTTTGTGTGCCTTTACCA